GTGGTGTTTATTTCATTATTTGTTTCGTGATGTGGTGTCTATTTTTTTTGGTCCCATTTACCTCATGTGTCGTTTTTGCGCGGCAATGCCAGCTAAATGGAGATTGCTACTGGCTTCTATATGTTGGTTATATGGGTTAGATCGAGCGGCGAGCGTGATGGTGGTCGAGGAAGGAACATCACTATCACTCGCTTCATCAGAGCTAGAGAAACATCATCAGTTAGTAGAAAAAAAAAACAAGTCAAGCATGCAACATTCGATAAAAATATATTGTCTACTTCACGTCTATACATGTAAAAAACAGAACTCAAAGTCTTCCATTTCCCCTTGATGACAAAAGTGCTTTTCCTAAACATATCATAAATTTCTTCAAATGACTAGGTTTCGATGGACTAGAATTTAGTATGTACTTGATAACAATGTAAAGGAATCTTCGAACACATGATGCTAAAGCAGTTGGATAAACAATGTACTTGGGAGCACTTACGAGTTTAGATGCTCTGAAACTAAATCGTTATCACTCTTGAACAAAGGGATTGAATGGAGGACTTGAATCCTATTTTTTTTAATGAAGACAATGTCAAGCAGGGACAGGTCAAGTATTGAGTTAATATATAAGATAAGGATGCATGTGATAGCAATTAAAGCGTACTTCAGATGAGCAAAATGTAGAAATGGCACACTTAAACTGAGTCATTATTATGAATTACTTAAAGACGGATAGAAAACTTTTGTAACAAATTCACATAAATATTTTTTGTCAAATAAAAAAATATTTCATAATATCAAAATAAAAAAATTTTTATTAATGAATTATTTAGTCTTGCAAAATATACTGAAATAGTCATATAATTTAAGGGAAAAAATTTAGTAATGGAAAAAAAGTACAGAAAAACAGGTCATTTTTAAATACACTCTTAATTACTTGGTTACAGTACAAACCTGATATCCCGGACTGATGGCATGGAAGCTGGCAGGCAACTCGGAGTCATGTCTGGAAATGACTCAGCTACAAATAGGGGAGAGAAGCATGTAACAATCAATTTCATAATTTATCTTCATTTTAATAGTCACAATTAAGATTTTATATTAACAAAAATATTGTTTATTTTCTTTACAATTTAAAGAAGAGTTAAAGTTGTGAAATTATATGTATGATTCAGAGAATTTTAAGAAAGACAATACAAAGTGTGATTATAATACAAGAGCTCCTTAAGCAGAACTTGAGAGGTGTGAAGATTAGCGAGACACTTCATACCCCTTGTGATTTTAGTTCAGCAGAAGTGAAAGTGAAAGTGAAACTTAACTGTTAGAGGAAAGATCAAAAGTAGTGTTACAGATCCATTCTCTTGTCCCTGCCGGAGAGCAAATACAAGGTTAGGACTGGGGTTAAAGGGAACACACGCACACACATTTAATATCAACAAGAGCATTTTTGGAGACCATCTTCTGAATTTTTAACCTTATGTTTTCTGAATTTTTATCCTTATTTCAATTTTCAAAAATAAAACTTTGTGATAATTTTTTTGTTAATCAAACTATTTTTTTTATCCTTAGCTCTATTTCCTAGCTCTACTTTTTTTTCACTTCTAAAAAATAAAAGCCATGCAGTATTATTACAAGCATTTAGATTAAGCCTTCCACCCAACGTACTAAAACGGACATTTTTTTAAACACGTCAACATCTAGCCATGACAAGTCAACATCAAACTGTCAACAAAACGCTATAAATTTTGAGATATATCTCACATTGGGACATAAAATGATCTCGAGGCCGGATTCGAGCCAGGGTTTCCGCGATGGTCGGGACGCCTTCCACGAGCGAGATGGGAATGTGACGTCGCAGGGATTGGGGCGACATGGGACGATCTTGTTGAAGTGTTATGATTCTCCGTGGGAAGCGTGCAAAAGTGGCTTCAGGCATTTCTGTGTCGGAGCACTAGAGGAGAGAGAGTGAAAATATCGAGAGTATAAAGGAAAGTGAAGAAAAATGCCCTAAGCCTCTGGGAGAAGTAGACTACCGCCAGTGAAACAGACACACCAAACCAAATATGTCAGTCTCGATTAATCACAGATTATTTGAACGAAACATGCATATTAGCTTTTTTTAATTTTTCTATACCAACATGCTGATGGTGTGTGCATTTCTGACAGCAATCTAGTGCGCTGTGTGCTGTTACATAACAAAGAAAAAAAAAGATGGTTGGTGTAAGACCCAAAGCTCTGGAGGCTCCAAGAAATCTGAGTGATACATCAGGCAGCGTCTCCAAGGTGACCACCAATAAAAGGCAGGGAACCAACCATTGACCTACCTGCATGAGTGTAGCTGGTCCTCACGTTCAGGCCTACCAGAGTCTGGGCTATATTAGGGGTCCCCTCTCGGAGCGCCACCTGTAGACGACGTTGCAATTCATCATGCGTTAATGAGCGACGAATCTGCATTGACATTATTGGTCGCTTACACGGACAAAGTGGGTCTTCCTCGTCACACTAAACAATGTCCAGGCAGCAGGAAATGACAAAACAGGCCAGACATAAAAATAGCTGTCACATAACTACTGGGTATTCCAAAATAGAGGGATGAAAACCAAAAAAATCTTATCCTTTGGCCTATATATTTTGTTTCTTAAAGAATTTGAGATTTTTTATAATGAAAATTCCATAAATAATAAAAAAAGTTCTAATTTTACTTAAAAAACATACATAAAATACTCTTGTATATGAAATTGTAACTGCAATATGATATTTTTTTAAGTAATTCAAATCAACAATTATTCCAGTTCCTTGATTTAAATGCAACTTTGTTTAGTAAGTGATAAATATAGAACTTTAATTAAGCATTTGATTAAATTAGTAAAATTTCAAATGTATCATCCAAATCACAGATATATAATCCTCCACCTGCCAGCAGTGACAATTCTTTTTCTTTTTAAAAAAAAACCCAAAAAACTCTTAACTTTCATATCAAATTATTCGTCATAAATATCTACCAGTATAGCTGTAAAAACTAATCAGATTTTCGTAAATCATAATTAATATCAAATGTAGGTGTTGCGTAAAATTAAAAACAAAGTAAAAAATTTAACGATATACAAACAAGGATATCTGTCTATCATCAGACAGCTTATATAGGACAGAATTGTCACCAGATTGTTTTAAGCAGCGTAGTTACGTACTCTACTAGATTGTTGACTATTTGTGTCTAAAGTGGGGGATTGTCCTGGTCGGTCCAAATACTCCATCATTTGTCGGTAATTGGACTAATTAAAGAGCAAATGAAAAGGTCAAATGCTTCTCAGTTTTTCAGGCCAAGTTTTAACTTATTTTGGTACATTAATAGATGGCAAAGCAGTTTGTGATGCAATGCATGCACTCAAATAAAAAAAAAAAAATAGTGTGACGCACAATTATCTTAACTGCCATAATATCTCCGTGTCAATGACAAAATCCAACCAATGTGTTCAATCTCAAAATTATCTGTAGCATTAATTTTCAGCTGTGTTCAAATTTTCTCACAAGTCCAAAAGTGTATGTATCATTTTAACTTTAAACAGAGTTACCTCCCCACAAGATCTGGTACTTACAAAGAAAGCCATGTCTCTCTGTTTCTCATCGTCATTTCGTTTCTTCATGTCTGCCATTCTCTGCAATAGTTCAGATATTTGAAAGTTAAAATATGAACAACTGAATTATTTTTAATTAAAGAAATCATTCAATGAATATGCATCATCATTGATTTTATTATACGCAATGCTGTTGAAACGGAGATAATTAAAAAAAAAAAATTTTTTTACTCCATATTCCCAGTTTCAATTTTCTTTCACTCAAATTCATGTTTTTCGAATCTAATTTCAAGATAATTTTATTAAAAAAAACCCCACTTCATTTCATGCTTTTATCCTAAACTGTATGACTGATTCAGCACCAATTAAAAAGCAATGAAAATAAATCTGTATTTTTGTATACATGTATTTAAGCCAATAAACCAGCCCTCAACTAATGTACACCATTCTGTTCCTCAGCCCGTACCTTTGCTGCCCGCTCAATGCTTCTCTCCTCCGAGAAGCAGGGAATCCCCCCATTTCTCCTGCCTTCATACTTGCTGACAAATCGGCTGTCCAAAGTCTGCTTTTTGTATTTCTCCAAATTTGAGGTGGTCTGTAAAATGTGAAATGTAATTAAATGCAAATTTAAGCAAAGTTTCATAGTTCATGATGTTCATATAATACGATTATTTGCAAGTGATCAGATAAGAAAAAAATCTTTCCCTTTTTAACTTGAAAATTTTGATTTTTAAAAAAAATTTAAGCTGAAAAAATTAATCATGAATATTTACATGCTTTAGTGCAAACAGATCTTTTCATTTCATTTCCCTTTTATACTTTCACTTGTATTTCCTTTAAGATACTCAATTATAAATATTTTAATCTTGAATTAATCTGAAAGAGTGATCATTTACAACAAATGCTACACCATCTTCAAATATTTAACTAATTCAAACCCAATTCTACAAAATCTTTGAATTTCCAAAATAAATTCCGACAAAATAAGTCCAACATCTTCATATCTACTTGAGCTAAACAAAACATAATTTCAATGAAATTAAATTGAAAATTAATTGAGCTATACACTACAAAATCAATAACCCAAAATTTCTGCTTAACATTGAGATTTGTTTGAATGAAATCAATAAAACTGTTTATCAAACTTATATATGACCTAGTTGTTATCTTTAGTTTTATTTTATTAGACATCAGACCATTTACATGCTGTTATAATTGTCTTGTTTAATGCTTATAAATACATGTTGATAATAGTCATAACTTGAAAGACACTCACTACAAAATTCTGAATTTTCCAAGATTTTTCCAAAAAAAGAACTATTTCAAGTACCTTTTCCACAAAGAAATTAGAGTATTTTTATTTCTTACTCTAAGGAAACCTTGCATTTTATATTTAACCTCAAATCAAAAATATGTCAAAGACATTTTTAAACTGTTGTTTGCATTAAGTGTCCTTTAAATAAAAGCCTAACACATAAGACAGATAACTCATGCGGAGTTTTAGCTGTTATATGATACTGGAAGGTGTAAATGCTGCCTTATTTTTTCATTATAAACATAATCAGCTGTAAGGAAAAGCAGGGTCAGTATAGTCTTCAAAACTACAAACTTAAAGCATATTCATTCAGCGTTTGTTTTTTGTGGCCACAAAGACACGACAAGCAGTATTTTAATACATCGTCTCACAAACCTTGGACCTGTGTAAGACAAACGAGCCTTGGAAAGCCTAGAAGTTAGAAATAAACCAAAAAAAATCTGGTTAATATCCCATCACATGTAATTATAATATAATGGTGCAGTGATTTGTGCTGTGATGTAAATTAACAGAACTCAACTGTGTGGTTTTGTCACTTACGGAGTTAAGTTTTGCTCTTCCACACATTATATGTAAATAAGGATCAAGTGTCAAGTAACAATGCACATATTTTAAGTATAATTATGACATTGTTGCAATAATAAAATATTCATGCAGGTACAGCTATTGAAAAAAAAAATCCAATGTTATAATCCGTATTATTTTTCACAAGTAATATACTGGCATTTCATAAGAATGGGAAATATGCTGGACAATGCTATGCTGTCATGCAGTTTATAAATAATACTATGTACAGCATTATATGCTTCTACACTGATGCAATTGGTGTACTGTGCTTTTTCTACAAACCAAAATCTACTAGCAGTTTTAATCAACTATTAAAATATATCCAACCAGAAAGACAAACTCTATATCCATAACAAAAAATCTGAAATCTATAAATGTCCTTTTCAAAAGAAGAAAAAAAGGCACAACTTAGAAAAAAAAGTCACCAGACATATTATCAGAAAAAATCCGCAAAAATTTAGCAAAAATGTCCACTTTAAAACAAAAACTTGCTACTTTGAAATATTAATGTAAAAACCCTAAGAAACATTTACCATGTATCGATACATTCCACATAGAATTTGCCTCACTGATCGGATGTAGGGACTGCAGTTTAATGATCAAGCCAGAAAAAGCATTGGATGAATGGAGTCACAGTTACAATATAGACTGTTTTTGGATTATTGAATGAAACAATTGTCTGATTATATTTCAGTAAATAATACTTTAGCTACTGATCAAAGTCATAAAACAACACTCAAGAAAATTTAAAATTTGATTTAGCCTTATAATTCTGAACAATTGATAACCTCCCTTTGCTTTGGAGTTTATTAAGAGTTATCTCCTCATTGTTCACATAAGATTTTAAAACTTCAACACTTTCTTCCTGTGTAAAGTTCTTGGAAGGGGAGGTAGAGGTTTGTTTACTGGTTAATCCTTGCCTTCTTAGATTAGTTTGCCTGTAGCTCCTAGAGGTTGTGGTACTATTTTTACATTGAGTCCTCAATATCTCACCCTCATTCACAAAAGACTTTGTTTTTCTAAGCCCCATGCTTCTCACTGAACTTTTGGATCCACCTGTCTTACTTGAATATTTACTTCTCCATGAAGTTACACTGCCCATCTCTTCAACACTGATTTCCGCAGGTTTACAGAAAGGAACAACTATGTTTTCATAATCTTGATATGGACTCCTTAAAAAGGATTGGGTGTCCACTAACCCAGTCTTCTTTGGATAGGAATTCCAAAGGTCACTACCATTCAAGTCGAATGCTGTAAGATCATTGGGAGAATGGCTCAATTCCACATCTCCTCTTGTATGTGAAAAGATTTCAGCCAGCTCTCTTTCAAGTTTTCTTGCATTATTTTGTGGTGCTGGAAAATCTTCCTGCATTTTTAACAGTTTTTTCATTGATTCACTTTTGCTGGCATTGGATGCACCTCCTCTTTTTCCGACCGCCTCCTCATTGAACTCTATCTGTGAACTGGACAGCTGTAAGGTTCCTCTCCCAACCTCCTCAACATTTGATTGTTGAACAATGGCAGACAATTTCAATGTTTGTTTTGAGGAGGATATTTGGGGTGCATGTTTGATGCGTTTGGACTTTGAAGCTATTGTACCAATTTGGTATTGTTTCTGTTGGAAAATCTCCAAAAACTAAATTTCATGCATAGACACTACATACAAGATAAATATCAGCAAGTTAGCAAAAAAGCAAAATAGGTAGTAATATTGTTAATATAGCCTTTAGATAAGCAACACAGGAGTATGTCAAAACACGAACAGTCAATTTTGTCACAATTTTTGACTCTTCCAAAAATCCTTAATTATGGAATTAAATAGATTTGTTAATAAATTTGGAAGGAAAGGTTAGGTCTAGGTCAATGGAATTTCTAAACTCACCTTTTTGTTAAGGTTGCCAGGATTACCAAGGGTATCATGTTGAGCATCAGAACAAGAAATAGAAGGCAAGGCCTGTTAGAGAGAGCCAATTAGAACCAAGGTCATAGTTCAAAGTAGACAAATCAGTCAACAACATGCAAATTAGATATCAATAGGGTTATAACATATCAACATTATGTCTGAAGGTATAGGGATTAGAAAGGTCAAGGAAATGAGTGCATAAAAATATACAAATTAAATATGATTGAAAAAAAAATTGCTTCAATTTATGAATAATTAAAATCATAAAACCCAACAAAGTGGCATTTGAAATGCATGCATTATGCCATAAAAACACCTGTCACCAAAAATTAATCAAAACTACAATAACAAGCATCAATGGATATTCTTAATGCAGTAATAATGTAATATACATGTATGAATGTAGTTTTAATAATCTTATGCATGTACAAATAATATAGGTACATGCAAAAATCTGTGACATAAGCTTGTCTTTTTAAATGAATGAGAAATGACAAAGTCACAGTCTAACATCTAAAATGTGTGGCAAAAAAAAAAAATGCTTATGCATGTGCGCAAGAAATGAGTGCATGAACAAAACCAGTGACAAGAATATTTAGAAAATATATCAAAATGCACCAAATTATGTATTTGAAATAATGATTGCCGTGTTGTTAAGTTTTAATCATGAGGACATTATCATTAAGTCAGTGTCCAATTTGACATGCTAGTGGTCAGTGGGCTACCTGACTGGTCACGGGGTTTAAATGGGTCGAGGAATCTCTTTCTCTGTGTAATCTCTCCTTGGGATACTGCATAGAGTGTATGCAATGATATTACATACAAATAAATTTCAAATCATACAATTCTCAAAGACAGCAGTGACATGTGACATAGGGGAATATATACAGAATTGAGAGTGGTGATCTACTAGTAAAATTAGTGCATCCCTCGTACCCAGTTGCATGATCTATTACCAGGTGTTCACAGATGTGGATATAGATATATATTTCTGACAAATACCATCCCACTTACCCCATGTAAATTTCTACTACATTGGAAACATTGCTATGAAAAAAAAAAAGATAGCAGCTACGTTCGATTGAATCCAAAACAAAATTAAAATTCTACATCTACATTGTTTGACTTTATCTCGGAACATTCCCATAATAATATTAACACTAATAAAATTTTCTGAAGAAAAATAATTTTGAAGCATCAAATTAAAAAAAATGTTAATTCTATTTTTAAAAAAATGCCATTTTTAAAATTAAAAAATAAAAATACCATCACCACTCTATTTCCTGCATAGCCATTTTTAACTGCATCCATAATTCTATTTGTGAAACCAATTCTTCTATTGAGATATGGCAATATGGACTAGCCAGACAGAACTGAGCCTGAAGTGACACCTACCGTTAGCGACTTTGAACGCTCCTCTTGTTTTTTGTCTGACCCCCCGGATCCACCCTTGCGTTCTTGATGTTCTTTGTCGCGCTGCTTTTTGGACTTGCGTTTTTTCTTCTTTGGTTTCGGATCTACCGGCTTCATTTCAGGTTCAGATTCGCTGTCACTGTCGCTAGAACTACAAACACAATGTTCCAAATTTATAAAGTCAGCAAACAATAAGACTGATAACCTTTGTAACATACAAACATGTACATGTCAAGAAAAAGTTCCTTATATGGAAGTCTCGAGAACATGAATTTTTAGGCCCTTTTAACCATAGAGAAATATGTACAAAAAAAAAAATGTTAACATATTAAGGAAGGGAAAATCTTTGATTTCTTTTTAACTCAATTTTCCAAACAGTAAGTTTCCTAATAAGCAAGTTTTACTGTAGATCTATATGTAAGCATCAGTGGATGATTTGCAGAGAATTGAAGAGAACAGCTGGCCTTACTCTGATTCCTGTAACGCCTCGCGAACATTGAGGTCGGAGAGTATTTTCAGGCAGCCGTCCATCGTCTTTAACGACTCGTTATCTATTAATGAGTCCACCTCTTTACGACTGAGGTTAGCGTGACTGTGAGACTCGGGCTTTCTCTTCTTGTCTGTTTTGCGTCCGAAGTCGTCTCCCACGTCCAGTCTCTCTTGGTCCTCCATCGCGCTCTGCCGGCCATCCAATGGACAGACGTCTTGACTAGCATCAATTCCAGAGTCTACAGGAGAAAAAAATATACATTGTACAACAATTAAGTAATAAAATAAAGTACTGTAGAAGAAGAAATATTTGTGGGGGATTTAATAATTTCTGCTTATTTTGTTGCTAACAATCATTAATGAAAATAAATCCCACACAAAATTTTTATATGACTATATTTTGGATTTGTTTAATTTCAAAACAACACAATTTTATGTCTACGAAAATTTTTTAGATGACAAATCAACGAAATCAAATGCCCACAAAAATTTGTGTTTCTACATACAGTATTTCTATAAAGTTATGACCAGAAAGGTAATTCAATAAATTTGGCAAAAATATTTTGAGTTGCCAACTTAACAAAATAACAGAGGAACTATAATTAAATGGAAACAAAATTTAAGACTAGGTACACAGGGAAAATTTTTGTCTCTGAGTCAATTTTATTTTTTGTCCTTCTCATCACTTTGTTGAATTCAAAACAGGTTGAATTCAATAAAGACACAGTTACCTCTCTTTTTAATACATCTAAAATGGGGCAATTTTTTTTGCAAGTGTAACAGAACAACAATAACTCTGTACCATACACAGTATATTGTACTCTTTTTCCACTGAGACATGTGAATTTATTAATAACTTACCAGCATCGCTAATTTTGCCACTTTTGGTGGATAACGACTGAAGGTTAGGGATACGTGCACCAATCATACCCCTCTGTTCTAGCACTTGGTTTGTGATGTACCGAGTCATGTCTAACACAACCTCTGTCTGTTTACTGAAACATCAGAAAAAAATCTCTATCAAATTCAAAAGTGTAATAAAAGAATTAATATGCTTTTTCACGTACATAAATCATACAATTTTATTCATTCTATTAATGATCTTAGTTGAGTGCAATATTTGAGATACAATATGATGCAGCACTTATTAGTAACCATTTGGTTGCTATTGTTTACATTAAATTAATCGATATATACGAATGATATAAACAATCTTCTCTGAGATACATCAAGTTTAATGGTGCAGTGAAAAGAAGATAACATACTGCAATTTACTTAAAACATGGGGAACACAAGACAAATAGTTAAGACAAGAGGTGTATCGAGGGTGACAGTTATTCCACACATGGCTTCATACCTCAACGACAAATTTTTCTTTTTAGTATTTTTCCTGGTACTAAAATGATATAAAATCCATTCTACTTCTTACTAATATAACCTGTATATCTGATATGCACTTGTTGCAATCTTTTTCACAGGAGATGTGAAATATTGGTAAGAAAAATGTTGTGCATGGTAGTTTTCTTTTTAATTTCTATGGAAGCTTGTATTGAAGTATTGTCTTTTTTCACAGGAGAGATGTAAATTGGTAAATTAAATACATGTTGTACTCAGTGATTCTTTAAAAGTTTCTTCCTTTGAAGCTTATCATACATACCGTATAACTGGATTTTTCTACGGGGTGCTATTTTTTGCGAAATTCTGCGATCAAGTCTTAATCGCAAAAAATTCAATCGCAAAAAATACGTAAATAAAATCCGGAATTTTCAGTTGCGATCATCGAAGTTCTACTTTTACAGATACCGGAAGTATATGTAAATAATACCATTGCACGTTTTCAATCGTATCTTACAGGTAATTTACTTGATATCAACAACAAAGATTGTTTTTCGAATAAATAAAACGAATTCCTAAACATTCAATATTTATTTGTTCCTACATTGTATTTCATGATTTATTTATATAAAACCCGAATAGCAATTGTCGGTTTGGCTATTCCGCGGCTGGATCCTTCAAGTGTTTACCAGATTTTTTCGGTAATTGAATTTCTTGTGTAATATTTTCCCTACTGGAATTATATAAACTCTTTATAATCATAAATGAAAGTTCACAGTCTATGGTAACTTACTGAAACGAACTTCTAAAAATTAATTTCAAAGAATTATCGTCTCGGTTTCAATTCAAAATAATTGTGACTTTGTTTCTAATTTACCCTCTGAATAATAACCCTTTAATTATAACAACACAAGGACGACCCACAGGTGTAGTGTCATCTATGTAAACACCCAATTAACAGCCTAAGGACTTCACTGTTTCCAGGTAAGTCCAGACTGCATATATCTTACGCTTGATTGGCGTGTATACAAGTGCATTCAAAACTTCGAGAGATAGAGAGTAAAATTCATTGAAATATTTGTAACGGGACCCAGGTTTTGGTTCGAGAGATAGAAGTTCGAGAGATCATTTGCTTAGTTATATTGTTCACTTCGAGAGATCAGTTCAACATCGAGAGTCACCTGTATTTTAAATTGCTTTGGTTTGTTCAATAAAAAATAAAAATAAACTTTATTGTTTAAACATCAAGTAATAAAATTCAATAAAAATAGACTTTATTGTCAAAGTGTAATCGCAAAAATTAAAATCGCAAAAAATAAATATACCTATTTCAGGATCAAATCGCAAAAATTTGCACCCGCATTAAAAACCAGTTATACGGTATACATACATTTAGAGCATTAATATCACTGAAGCATATTATTCAGGGCTAGGCTAAAACACTCGAAAAAGAGAAGAAGAAACATCTGTCATGCACACTTACGCTTTGTTTTCCTGAGCTACTTCATAATCTAGCACCACTTGCGACAGCACTCGCCCCATTTCCATATAATCACCAATATTGAAATGACGCAATTCTTTCCTACAAAATTTTATTGAAAATCATTTATTATTTTACATATCTTTCACAAAAATTCCATTTCCATATAGGTATAATTAACAATATTGAAATGATGCAATTCTTTCCTAGGAAATTAGATTATCTATTAAAATCATCTTTCACAATTCCAAGTTTGATTTAATTCATTTAGGTGTTTTTGAAGATTCATAAAAAGTAATTTAATAATGTACATACTGAGTATGGGGCCAATTTACTTATTGAGTAAGGTACCACAGTGACTATAAATATGACCCCTTAATGTACCTATTGAGTATGGTGCCACTAAATGTGGCTTCCAGAGTGAAGCTGTTGAGGACCCTCATCTGACGCCACATCACCACGCGGCCAGTGGACTCCTTACATCTTTTGATTTGGAATTTGCAGGATTGAAAGGAAAATTTGTCTGGAGACTGAAACACAATTTGAATGAACCTTAAAAATAAGTGAATTCTGAAGTCAATACATGTACATGTATTATTCATGACATAAGCCCAGGGAAAAGGCATCTCTCTGAAATTTTAACTCAAAGTCAAGCTTATTGGGATGGGTAGGTCAATGAGGAACTCTTACTTTTAACTTTCTCTGGTAATATTGTTCATATTGGGGAACACTCTTTCAGAAATAAGCAAAGGTAAAGAGCCTCTCTTAGATATAATTCAAACTTGACCTTTACAATTTCAGTTGTTGGGGAGGGGGGGGGGTGACCTCTGTGACATATGGGAGGAACTATAACTCTAGGAGAGGGGAAATTTACTCCTGACTCACCCTCTGTGACATAAGCCAAGGGAAAAGCCTTTCTCTGAGATAGGCCTGAGCAGCACCAATTCCCTCATCTGTCTCCACTTCTGACGTGTTGTTACCATACATGAACACATTGTGTTTCCTACTGTGTCCATGTAGGTCACAGTATAGAAGAATCTGAAAGTAAAAGTAGAGAGTAAACCAACAGTAAAGATTGAAGGATAGAAGAATCTAAAAGTGAAAGTAGAGATTAAACCATTAGTGAATAACATCACCAAACCGATGTATGTAAGATTTATGGCCTTTGTTTTCACTTACATCATGTCTTTCTAGAATTTTCTCCATCATACTCTTGGTAAACCACACTGTTGGAAAACTCTCTTTCCTGGGATGTCGGTAATTGCGGTTCAAGTCCCTGGCTGCCAAAGAACATCGGTAGTTTCCTACTATCACCCCGTCTGGATTGAGCATGGGAACTATTTTAAATATAAACCTATTGCGAAGTTCCTGCAAAAGATTTGGGGTGAAAAATGGTTAGAAAATTGCCCATTTGTAACAAAGCATTTTCTCCAAGTACCTAAACATTTTAAAATTCTTGAAAAACAAGATTTACTTTTGCGACGGGGTCGGTACTTGTGATGTAGTCCAGCAGACCCTTCATCATCCAGCTGGCCTGGGATTCCCCGGGGTGGACCCGGGCCGTCACCACCACCACCTTCTTTTTGATCTGCTCCTCTCGGGAGGTATCTGACAAATGTACAAACAATGCTTATGATGCAATCTCACTGGACAAAACACTGTCAATTCTTTCAATATTAGACAGTGCTTACATGGATTCAGATCATTTTGATGTCTGTTGTGTAATGACAATGGGTAAAGAGTAAAAGACTTTTGCCAAAAAGATCACATTTTGTTCATACATACACAACTCACAAGCAGATAAGAAGAGATAGATTTTTTTTTCTAAATAGCTTCATCTACCTTAATAAATGAATAAATTTTGAAATTTACATCAATATTTGCACTCCATATTACATAACTATACACTTACCAAAGTTGGTGCAGGTGACAAGAAAACAGCTGTTTCCAGCGCGAGTTTCACAGAGGACTTCCCGTTTGATCCACTGTCGACTCTCGGGCATGTTTAACATGATGTCCAGGTCCTCCTTGAGATCAGTGAATGTATAGGGGTAACAATGGGCAAGATAATAGGTGTCGTCAGCATTAGGAAATTCCTACAAATCAAAACCAGTACATGAAATATGGAGAAAATTTATGAACAGTATTCAAGCTCAGAAGTCCATACAAACAATAAAAATCAAGAACAGAGCAAAGTTTACATGGTTCCCTAAAACATCAGAGATGGGATCAGCTGCCATGTCAAAGCAATTTACTTCATTTTATGGCATTCCATTTGAAAATTCTATTTTCCAGTAAAACACATTTTTTTTTAAAAACAGACATGCTGATAAGAACTCTGTATGGAATAAAATAAGACGAACTTACCATTTGCCATTCCAGTTCTGAGTAGGGTATACCTCTCATTAGCAAAGGGCAGTGTAAATGCATTATATTTCTAGAGTAACTGAAAAGAGAGCAATTCATATAATTATATGGCTATTATATCATATTTAAACTACAAACTGACAATAGTTAATAATATCGATATTTAGCTTATGATTTGATACATGCATGATTTATCTAAAATAAATTCCTTAAAAACTGCATTAAATAGAACACAATATATTCAAGTATACAGTGCTAACCTAATATGATGACCTGCTCGGATCCAACCTATAGACTTATTCTTGGCATCATTTTCAGAGTATAACAGTGGTCTCATACCTACAGAAGAAAATGTGAGATAAGAATATAAAGTCAAATGTAATACCGGTAATTTGGGTTGACTATGGCACTGGGTTTAGCGGTTAGGGCACCTGACTAGTCATGCAAGCCAGGTTCCCAGGTTTGGTTCCTGGTTCGGCCATTTTTTTTTTGTTACGTATTGATAAAGTTTCAGTCTGTCATTCTTCCTTTCCATTTGTAGTATCGAAAAAAGGAATGATAGACATACCTTTAAAATTTGTATCCAGAACCCCTATGTATTACTAATCAAGTGCTATAACCTCTAAACTAACCAGGCTGATATTCACAGCCCAGCCAAAATTCTTAGATATGCAATATTTCCAACTATAAATAAAAGCTGAATTTTAAAATTAACAATCATTGATAAAAATAAACTTTACAATTCATTTGACAAATTAATGTTTAAGTGGAATTAAAACTGACCATAATTATAAAGACTATCTCTTTTGAGTAAATTGACTATCCTGAACTTGTACACCACCCCAGGGACGGCATTCTGCACCCTGAAGTAGTACCACTGGGTGTGGCGGTTAGTGTACAGGTCCGTTTTTAGCACCAATTCATATTCACACTGACCCCTGAAAAGGAAAAAAAATACAAATTTGAAAAATTTATTTATCGTTTTCTCAAACTTTCTACTCTCCTTTAATCACATGTATGGATTAAGCTACTGAACGGTAAAGCTATTTGATATTGGTAATTTCCCATGATGGCATTATCTCAGATTGTGTTTCCCATGGAATACAACAAAGCTTTGCATTAGCTTCCCAGCACAGAAAACAAAACACATAATTCAGTGTCTACAGGTTGAGAAAAAAAGATTACAGTCCATTCTACAGTGAGAAATGCCTGAGAAATGCCGTTAAGCAAATATTTTGGATGAGCAAATGTGACAGATACCGATTTCAAACTGAGAACTTGCATTTTTAAAAGCCATCAAACTATAGGATAAAACCTGTCACAGAATATGCATTAAAGCCTAAAAAATAAACTGCCCAAATATTGGCAGAACAAGTGGATTAAAATCGTGTTTCAATTCTTTCTTCTCCAATTGTTTAGGTGGAAACTCTGCTTTTGAAATCATATGCTATTGTGGGTTGTTTTGAATAGATAAAAAGAAATACTTCAATTTTCAGTTTTGAAACATTTAAACACTCTCTTTAATTTAAATGGATTCTTTGCATGCACATCCTTAAAAGTGTTGTAAAATTAAATCTTTATTTTACGTCGGTTAAATTTTGAATGAAAATTTAAATGATGAATGTAAATTTCCTTATATTTCAGGAAGCTTTTACAATATTTTAAAATACTTGTGCTTGATAACATCAAATATACACCCCCTGCATGTATTTTGTATAAAAGGCCATTTTACTTATTAATCACGATTTATTCATGTTGAAAATGTTCCATCAATTCCCCCTTTCTTAAAAATTAACTGCCCAATCTAAGATTTGAATTAAAGAGCCAATTATACGAAAATTTCTCTCATTCACCGAATTGTTGAAAGAATGAAAAACATTTTTTCAAATTTTTCCATTTTGTATGCTTCATCAATTTAGAATGAAAAATATACATGAAAATAAAGGTCTCTTAGTATAATCATTTCCAAATTCATCCAACCTACAAGTCTCCCATCTAGATCAACCATGTTGTGCAACATCAAAGACATAAAAGATGCAGATATTTAAGGACTGAATTTAATAGCTACCTGAGTTATATTGTATAACCTGGGTTGGGGCAGTTTACGCTTTATAAACCATGATTTTTCATTATTAAGTGTCGACAATAAAACAATTTTTTGTTCAAAAATGCCTTTGATTGAGCATATTTCAAAAGTTAACATCGAACAAAATAATACAATTTTGATGCCAGTCATTCTGACCTAGGCAACTTGTATGTTAAACAATATGAACTAAATCTTTATCCATGCAATCAAAAGACGCTTTTTACAACAAAAAGTAAATTTTTAGTAAAAATTAGCACTGGCATATATGATCATAGACAAAAAAATTGTCAAAAGAAAATCCTTTCAGTATCTGCAAATAAGTGTATTCTAGCTCTTACACTATATGCCTTGCAATAAATATTTATAAATTTGAAATTTTCAAAAAAATTGTTAAACTAAAAATTCCAACAAAAAAATTTTTTTTTAAATAAAATTATGTATACATATATGATATTAATAAATGGTAAAAGATAAGTACTTTCAACTAATCAATAATTAAAATATTTCGATAATATACAACTTGTATCAGTGATTAAACACCCAATTTTATGTTAACGCCCCCAAAATCTACCTGATTCAAGATCAATAATTTACCGCCTGTCAATCATTAAAAAAACAATAGCTTCTGATTTGATTGACAGGTCAGCTACCGTGCTTCCTGATAATCCGAGTTTGCATGTTTTGAAAACAATTACCTGGTCACGCGTCAAACGCTTTCATGTACCCGCATAGTATACACGCGGGTTAGAAAACTCCAATATGTTGGGTTTAATAATTTAAAAAAATAATTGAAAGTAGATTATTAAAACGTGATTGACATAATAAAATATTTCTTTTCTATCTTCACTGCTGTTTGTTACTTGTGTTATATCGTCCACGTTTTCTGTAGAAAAAAGGCCGCGTCCACAGAAACCGGCTCTATTTGCCGTAATTGGAAGTCCGACGATTTAAATTATTTTTTAAGAAATGGGATATAAGAAAAATATTCAGCACTAATAAACGGCATAGCATAGTTTTTAAAAGTTGTTTTATTTTGTACTATGGCTACAATCCGCACGATGTTGTACAGAATTAATGCTCGAATTTCCTCTAGCGTCTGTATATCTACGTAATGAAAATGTGAAGATAATTAATAGTGATCGATTCTGAAAAGAAATCTTTCTAACAATAAAATTTTGCTAACACACAAAGAATCAAAAATATGGAATATTTTGGACAACATTGTTGGCCAGAAAAAAAAACCATTCCGATCGCGGTAAATCATGTTCACATGCACGACGGATAGGTGGATTAATAATATTTTTTATTTCAATAATCAGACTTATTTAATCAAGTGATTTCTTTTATTGAAGATTAAAAAAGATAAATATTATTGATTTGTAGTTTTTACTCGTGATTTTTTCTTTTATGTAAGGAAAACATTTACACGTATCTAATTTTTTTCCTTCAAAACATTACCATATGATTACGATGATTAGTTTACAAATAAATTTCATATTAAAATAATTATTTTACGTGATTTCACTCCAAACCAAACACAAAACACGTAATGTTGACCCTGATCACCAAACACAGACTTCCTGTGTAATGCTACGTATACACAGACTTTTGACATCTTGGGTATTGGGGGTCTCCAGGTAAATAACACCACTGTTACTTCGACCACTCCCCCTCCTCAGGTAACCGTACGGTAAAAAAATTGGGTCTTTAATCCCACAGTTTCTCTGATTATCAATTAAGAAAATTACTAATGCACACCATCATTTAATTTAATTAGGATTTGTTCATATTTTAAAAAAAACTCTTAATCACCCTAATAGGCAAAATTGACACTAAATTCTTGCAATTTTAGTTCCATTCAAAATCTGTGAAGTGTCATATAATTAAATGTTCATTATCCAATAAATGAATTTCATCATGTTCATTATATAAAATTATTTGTTGTATGATGTTCAAATGAAAAAAAAACAAATTACAAAGTTTTAAATATAAATTGCTAAATACATTGGAGTGTGGATGAAAAATATTTTGTATATATGCTTGTAAATGAAAATGTAAAATTTAAGCAGTTGATCTTCTAAACTGGAAAAAAAGGTTGTTCATTTATAAATTTTATGTATCATTTAAGATTTGTACAGCCTAATTTTTTTCAACTTTATCAAGACATTTTCACCAAGATTTCAGTAAACACCCTGCCAAAACAAAAGTTCACATACCATTTCTTTTTATAACTGCCCACTTTATACTTGCCAAAAAAAATCCACAAAAGGAACACTTTGACACATATATACGTTCAGATAAATTTCTAAGTAAATAATGAGGCATTTTTTTATTTTTTAGATTAATCCTCCAACAGCTAAATGAGTAACAAGTTGTTTGATTTTTAATTACATGAATAGTTGAAGTACCCCTCCCCCCCAACAAGATGAAACCTACACTCTTCGAGCCTGGCGTAGATTTCCACTCTCAAATCTGGATTCAAAGACTAGATTAGGACAGCACCCCTCAGGGACGGGTTGTGGGGAATGATCTCGACTACTTCGCTCCGAATCGTACACGATCAACACTCCTCGCCATTTTGAGGTATATGGTGTTTGCTGGTTATCGAAGGTCTTTGTAAACTGTTGATCTGAAAATTGGAAAATAAAAAGTTCTAAATACATATACATGTACTTTATGTATTCTTCCATAACAGTGGGCTTGTACTATAAAATAAATTTATTTCTATAATGCCTCCCCTTCTAAACACATGCAGATTTAGTTTGAACTTTTGGTCTAATAATTTTCATCCATATTTTATCTTACTACATAGCTCATTAAGTTTTTTAAGTACAGTGGACTTTCAGATATCTGGATGCTTCAGTATCCAGACGATTTTTCATTCGAACAGAATTTTTTTAAACGTTATTTTGTCTTGTTCAACTGGTGAGTCAGGTATCCGGACGCTTCACATATCCGGACAAATTGACTAGAAACCAAAGCGTACAAATGAATGAGACTCCACTTAGTCAGCTTTTAGATCTATGAGTTGTGGGTTCAAATCTTTTTGAAGAACGTACTTCATAAAATGCATTTTTGGGGGTTACATGTAAAGTATGAATTTGATATTTGAAATATAAATATCTGCACCTCTTCGGAAATTTTGCTTTTGAGTTGAAATTTGTTTGGACAGTCAAAAATTGATTTAGGCTATGATTTTCACCATGCAAAAAAGGTAATGCATTTTTAAATATGCTCTTATCATTTCAATGAAATATTGAAAATTATTTTCTAATGAAATCTCACATTTAAAATGAGCACTTTACTAAACCAAGCTTCAATCCTTTGAGGTCATGAAGTGGTACAAAGGTACCCAAGACATTTCATTAACATGATCGAGACCCCTACTTGTGATTTTCTCTTTTCTTCAGATCATTAATAAAGAATTAATCTTATGGGTATACCCTGTGAATGATTTGAATGTCAAAGTATGAAATATTTAACCAAAAAAAATCTTTTGATTACACATATCATGGCAACAGGTTTTTCATTATCAATGGAGCCTGATCGCCTTATCAATAAATTGGTCAGCATTTGATATTAGCACATTGATGATCAATATTTCCAGCCAGGGATTATGGTGTATTGACTCGGGGTTCAAGATGTTTTCATAATGTTTAATAATGTTTGAATAATAAAAGGTCTACCAACATATCGGTAGATTTACCCCGTCAAAACTCTGCCCACTTTTCTTTTTTCCCTCCGCGCAATATGATATTGATATATTGAATTCTTTTGTAAAATTAATATCCATCTAATGGATTTGTTTATATGAATACTTGAAAAGAAACCAGAAGTATTTTTCTATTTAAAATTTTCCACTTTGAATTGTCATGTTCTTTATCTTCAAACAGCAATCAAAACTTAACAATGCCTTAGACATATGCCTATCACTCTTCAAAATTATAATTCTCAGATATATATCACTTACATTCCTGCTCCTTGAGCAGGCTTCTTAATTTTTTTTTTTAAATATACATGCAACCAAATCCAGATATAATGTATAAAAGTACCTACCTTGCCAATCATTCAAGAAATATACCACTTTTATTTTTCATCTCTGTATAAAAAAACTTACCTCTGAATTCTCCCCTCAATAGTGGCTCCACGTACGAAGGCCAATTTTTCAAATGTTTGGGAGTCTCGTGTACCTCACACTCATAATACTTAGGCCAGTACGGACCGTACGGCCAGAATTTAATATCTGGGGGTCGTGTCTTATATCTGGTTATAAAATCCTCTAATTGTTCGGAATAATTCCAGTAACTAGTCTTAAGCAGATTGTTTGCTGCTGCTTTCTGTAAAATCTCTGATGTCATTTTTCATCACAAGATTTCGGACATTACAAAATAGATTTCTCAAAAACTGAGAATAAATACCACACATAAAATATCACAAAATTCCAGCACTAAGTCATTTTCATCTATTACAAAAAAAAATCTTGAGTATTATTTTGATCACTTTTTTGGTCTATATCAAAGTATCCCATAATTCACTCCTTTATGTTTTGTTTTGTCCGTTTGTCACTTTTGCTTCCAAAGACCCTTGATCCTGAGATGGAACATGATCAACCAAATCTTGTTGCGGACATCGTGAAAGTGAGGCTGGCGCCAGATACAGATGTGCAATGGTCAGCTGTCGTCTTCTGGTTACACCCTCCCCCTGCGATATATTGTGAATCTTAACATACTGTTTTGTGGTGTGTGGAGACAATCTGCCATTGTCTTTGGCTTCCATGGTGAGAGAAGTAGAGAAGAAACCAACTCGACTTGCACTTGGCAAACAGTCATTCATCATGGGAATGACAGTAGAGCTTTGGCCATTAATTTTTAAAACATTAATAACGTGAAAAGCGAAACCACTTGAGAATTCCCAAACAACCAATACAACCTCCAAAAATTTATTTGTATGGTCTGTGATGTTTTAGCAAACAGCCCTTCCACCCTCAGTGGTAATGTTTGAGAAGACACAACACAAATTTATGAACACTCAAGAGTTAAGTGAAAATGGGAGCCCAATATTTATACAGTCCACTGTTGTTTTAGAATTATTAGGCAAATTCAATCCTTATTTTTCTGGCTTCTTACGCCACTTAAAACAGTTGACAGATGATCCTACACATAAAGCGAGACAATGAAACAAAATTTAACACATTTTATCTGTCCTCTCCTCCACACAGTATAAATATATGACCAATTTGATAGTCCTGTTCAAGTGGCTAATACCATGTCTTTCAGAGCTTTTACTAGCTGTCAACCATAAATTTCCTGCCCTGCTAAAACAAAGTCCCTGGCAGTTGAACGCAAAAAGAAAAACCCTTCCACTAACTCACGTCCCTGCACTTCACTTTAAATCCACCTTTCTCAACACTTCTTCGCAACACAAAAGGCAAATGAAAACAAAAAAGACGAACACAGGTGCATCAAAGAAGAACAGGGACTTTGTATTTTTAGTTTTCTAAATCCCCATTCAATCCGCCGCAAAAGGAACAATATTATAACTATCACAAATATTATGAGGAATTATCTTTGAAAGGTCCTTAATTTTTATCTATATAAGCTTAGTCCCTTTAAAAAACATATTTAGCATCATTCGGGCCACATACCCGAACAGATCTGTTGACAAGTTAAATTCTTGTCTTAATTGTCACAGGTCTTGATTTCACAAAACCATTTAAATCACAATCAATGCTCAGTTGGATTGTTTGTTAGGTTTAACATTAGCCGTTCGTGTTAATGGGGTAGTATCCTCAAGGGTTCCTCCAACCCCCAGGCACTCTTTTAAGCGGTCTTAGTGTCAACTGTTGTGTAAGAAGTAAAAACAAAAACTGACAGGGCCCCGATTCTTGTTTGATTTCCTTATCGGAGACCTTGGTGCACTGCGTTAAGATCCCCGGCTCATGGTGAAATCACTCCACCTTTGTTAATAATCTGTCACTTTCGAAAATCGGCGAATGATAAAATGACAGATATATTGCAACTCGAATGCGTATCCAAGTAAGAATTCTCCACAGTCAAAATAGGAAAATGCTGTCTTTAAATATTCAGTTATTAAAAATAACAGTTATAGCCATTGTTACCTGTGGACAATCACTGCATTCTATAAATGCAGATCATAACTCTTTTCCATTTCTTACAACTAACAAGGAAAGCACATTCCAGCACATGCTTATAAATTTCTAAAAAGGCAACAAAATTACTTTTTGTGCAGACAAGTTTATCAAGTTCATCAAAGGAAACTATCAAGAAAGGTATTGTAATTGTGCAACAAAATCATTACGTTTCGTCACTTCATAATGCAGAAAGTCTTTGAAGCCAAATGCACTGGCTTAAACGCGGAAAACAATCTTGTTGAATTCTATGTGTAATCCCAAGGTGAAATCTTGTCACAATAAATGTGTCTTTTGATGTTGTTCAAACATATTGTCTGAACTTTGTATCAAATGTGTTTGCACTAATTTCCATTTTTCCTTCCTATGGCACCTTGCAATGTTAGGGGGAAAAATCACTTTAGAAAGCTCAACAACTGGACAATAAAATCAGGATCGACTTTAAAATCAATAGAATCGATAGGATCCTCAGACATTGAAAGTAAAAAGATAATCTGTCTTCCATCATCAAATGTAAATTTATCTACATTTCCTATCTACGCAAGCTAGGCCACAATTTACCCCCCTTGATTAAGAAAATCTTAAGCATGCAGCTATCAAATCCTTTAAAAGATCATTCTTCTTCTTCTAAATGCAAGTTGAATTGCCAAAACTCAACATAAACCGCACTTTCAACCCCAAAACTCAAAGAGCAGTGGCATCTAAGTTCTGAACATGTGAAATAAGGACATCACAATGCAAAAACTTCTGAATTTACACAACTGCAGAAAATTTTAAATCTTTTCTTTTTTTTGCACTAGAAACTATTTCCTTTGACTCTGTGGACTCTACAGTTAAGCCTGATTTACCCATCCTTTCCAAAAACTGTAATAAGTTATTGGGTAAAGCATAACTATGGAAAGAGATCATGGGGGGGGGGGGGGTTTTCTCTCTTAATGTCTAGATGATCAGATAGATTTGAACTACATGATACCTAACATCTAATTTCATGACTAGTTTCCACATTACATGTATAAGCAACCCTCAATTCTTTCTCGTTACTCATACTGGCTGATCAGCTTTGCCCAATTTCTGAACACTCCCCAAATCAATCTGCAAATTTCATACTGCATCATGGGCTCTTTTTATATATTGTCAGATAAAATGCAATTTACATAAAGAAGTGGGTATTACAATCATTTACCTGCTATCATTTGCCATTTAGCATGGTCTGGAATAATAAAGATATGTATTTATGCATATGTTGAGTGAAAGTACAAACAATGTAAATATATCCTCCTTTATGTAAGAGTTTCATTCCATACAGGCATATTGACACAAAAATTGGAATAGCAAATACCAATATTCTGCACTGTTCACTTAATAATTACATGTATACATAACTATATGTCAATATTAATTGTTCAATGTAAACATGCATCTCCTATTGATAGTTTGAAATGAGCTGTACAAAAATTTAACAAGTTGGAGAGAAAATCCCT